TTAACAGGATTTCTAAACATAAGTTAGTAGGTCTCAAATACCTGGATTCTAATAAACAGGCTGTAAATTGCTGTTTTGATAATACAACTAAAATAGGTTTATCAAATTGCATATAATAAAGTGCTATGTTTCTAGTATTTTAATTTTAAATGAAGGTTTCTAGTATTTTAATTTTAAATAAAGATATATCAAAGGCATATCAAAGTTAATGTAATTCAAGAGATTTGACAAATAAGGCCTACAACATTTTAGTTTACCATTGATCTCCAAAGGTGTTTTTCCACTAGTTCAGTATAAATCTGTCCCATGATAGCACAGGTGAGTTCTTTTACCAGAATCCTCCATCCATTTGGCAGAAAAATACGGAAATAAATTGAAGCTATAATGAGCCCTTTAGACAGAAGCTAACTAATATACACTACCGTTCAAAAGTTTGGGATCACATTGAAATGTCCTTATTATTTTGAAGGAAAAGCACTGTACTTTTCAATGAAGATAACTTTAAACTAGTCTTAACTTTAAAGAAATAGACTCTATACATTGCTAATGTGGTAAGTGACTATTCTAGCTGCAAACGTCTGGTTTTTGGTGCAATCTCTACATAGGGGTATAGAGGCCCATTTCCAGCAACTATCACTCCAGTGTTCTAATGGTACAATGTGTTTGCTCATTGGCTCAGAAGGCTAAATGATGATTAGAAAACCCTTGTGCAATCATGTTCACACTTTAGTTCGTTACAGAAGCTACAAAACTGACCTTCCTTTGAGCAGATTGAGTTTCTGGAGCATCACATTTGTGGGGTCAATTAAACACTCAAAATGGCCAGAAAAAGAGAACTTTCATCTGAAACTCGACAGTCTATTTTTGTTCTTAGAAATGAAGGCTATTCCATGCGTGATATTGTTAAGAAATGGAAGATTTCCTATGGAATCCTATGGAGGATTCTTTGACGAAGGCAAAGTTTGGTATAAAAAAAAAATCTTATTTCATATACAAATCCTTATTTTTAACCTTGTCAATGTCTTGACTCCATTTTCTATTCATTTCCCAACGTATGGTGGTAAATAAGTGTGACTTTTCAGGAAAACACAAAATTTTTGGGGTGACCCCAAACTTTTGAACGGTACAGTAGTGTATGTCTCAAAGATATATTCTCGTTAAAGAACACAAACACATTTCATAACATTTTAAAAGCAAAACTGCTTAGGAACATTTTGTATAGCAGTGAGAGATAATGTATGAGTGGTGACTGATAAAAACAACACAGACTCCCAGAGTTGCTTTCTCAAAGTGAAATTTCATTTTGTCTTTTAGCACATAGATGTTTTTTTTTTCCTCCAGTCTACATCCCCGTTATGTTACGTACAGTAGTAAGCATCTCTACATTCAACCCCCCCTCCCCCACTGATGTGTTGGTCCCCAAAATATACATCTTTTCAACCTCTCTATCATCCTCTATTGTTTTTATCATCAACAAAACAAACACAGATCATTGGGCAGACAGTGCAAATCTAGAAGTTCTGTGAAATTGCTACGTAATGCGGTTGTAGTTTTTATTAACATTATATTCTCATCCTGTTGCTCTGACTTATTGCAATGCTATCATGTATAAAATTCTTTCCTTCTCCCTTTATGTCTCCTCTTGTTTCCTTCTTTACTGCTTGTCATCAATTTATGGCCAAAAGGTAGAAAGATGACAGTCATCTATCTGTTGGAAGATACCAGAGCGCTCATTTGCCTTTTATTTTGGACCGGGGCTGGAATCAGGTGAATTCATTTAAGGACAAAGGGCTGTCTTTGTAACCCAAAGGCTTTTAAAATCAGTGAGGGGTGAGGTCCTGTATTCCTTGACAAAAACAACCACGTTTTTGGGGGGTTTCTAAGCAGGCAAGCCAAAACAAATAGAAAATAAAAAGTTTGTGCCAGATAGTTTTGCTGATACATTTGATTTGGGTTATATCAATTGTGATTTGCTTTCCTCAATCAAGACAAAGTTTGAAATCCAGCAAAATTATTCCAAATTAAATTCTTTTTATTTCTAACATTTTCTTTTTTTTTTTTTCGAAAACAAGAATGGACTTCTTTGGCAGGCTGAGTTAGACTTGATGGCGACACAATGAAAGGGAAAATAAAAAATAGCTAATTTCTTCTTGTTTAAACAATCTATAACATATTTTCTGTGATTTCCAATGATACTTTTTGTTATGTTACATTCTCTAGCAAAATTTAAATAGCATATGAATCAAGAAGGTCATACTTACATAAACTGGACAGCATTTATCAAAGGTTCTGATACAGTTAAATATTTTAACTATTGTTTTGATCCAAATAATTAAATTTCTCCTTGTTAGGCCTGAAAAGATATGATTTAATGATTTATTTTTTTAGTTTCTGGAGAGTTTTACTGCTATCCAGAATATTACAAGTAATGTTTTTTTCCTTTGAAGTGGGGTTGTGCGAGTTACTATCAGCTGTCAATATCTTACCCGGGGATTAAGCCACAAGGCAAGCTAATGCAGAGGTTCTATTAGTGTCCAGTTTAGTTCAACCTGAAATTCAATATATAACCTACCCCCCTCCCCTTCTTGTAGATTTTATTTACTGGAGTCATATTAACAACTTTCGTTATAGTGTGAATAGTGTGAACAGACAATGTGGCATTTTGTAAATAGGTAGCTTTGAAAGGGTGTGCTAAAAGTTGGTAAAGAAATGTTCTGTGGTTGACTTCACCTTATTGTGAATTAAAATAGCTGTTATGAAAACAACCAAATGATATGAAATGGCTCCAGATCGCTAAATGACAGGAAGTGACTTTAAAAAAGGGGTGGAATCATATAATTAGGATGAATTCAGCTCAACTATGTTTCCAGTGAAGAAGATAAATGGTGGCACCCCTGCAGTGATGCTAAAAAGTAGAAGGAATTGCTGAGATAAAACTGAGAGATCCATGTCTTAATCTAAAACCCTCCTTCCTCTAATGGAAGTGGAAAATTACCCCTAAATCTGTAAATAAAATTAATTTGAACGTTGTCCATTCAGGCTGAATCTAGTGTGTTAATAAGGGTTTCTGAATGTTTTGTAACAAAGCAACTGACAGGTAGCTCTGCGTTATTAGCATTTAAAAGAAACAATCGGGGACATTGTGCGATACATTCGAGAATCAAACCCCCGTCCCTCAAAAAAAGGAGAGGAGAGAGAAAACAAAACAAAGAGAACGGCTTCTTCTCCTTCTTTATCACTCTTCCTACGCTCGTCTTCTGCTCACTGATCCTCTCCCGAAAACAAATCATCATACACACACACATACACCCCCACATTCACTTCCACAACCTTAACATCACCCACAAATAAGGTTACATTTCATGATCAAATAGAAAATAAATAGCATCAGAATTGTTTTTTTTTTATCCCCACAAGATGAGCAAAGTCATACAAAAAGACAATAAAATAAACATAATTACAGAGCAAAATTGTTTTTCATCAAACAAATTTACAAATAATGTAGTACCTTAAGACAATGTGAGTATCATGGATGCAACAGGAGATAAAACATGTTTTTTTTTATTATCCTGTCTGACTCCCTACAAACACACAGATTATCCTGAAAGAATGAAAATATTGCTAAAATAACTTTTTTTTTTTTCTCGGTTTTTCTCCCCTCTCTTCACCCCACTACACCATCTTAATAATCAGACACAAATGAATAATTGTTTTGTTGCTTCGCAAAGAAAAAGGTTGTCGTCTCCACGGTCCCCTCTAGCAGCTTCAGGATCGGCCAAACCTAATAGACTTTCCTGATTCAGAAATCCAACTGGATGGCAGTGTTTTTCTTTGAGTTTGAAACCTTTGTGGTATCTATTTATATGTAACACCACAGTTTCAGGCGTGAAAGAACAGTGGATATATCTTTGAATAAGAGGCTTTGCTTGTAGCTACATCATTACTACTTTTATTGTTTAGAGCTTTTTTTTATTAAGACAGCAAACAGTTTTATTTACGCTAAAGTTGGTAATTTCCACCACTTTACCATCTGATGACAAGAGAGAAAGATGCACAGAGGCAGTGAAGAAGATAGTAGCTAGCATGGATACAAAAAGCAGATCTATATTTAATAAACGCTTTGGGAAAAGAAAAAAGAAAAAAAGCATATCCCTGATCACTAAATAGGGCACTATATAGTGATTACACCATTTTAAATTAGTGTCCGAACATCTTGTGGATGAAAAAGTAGCTTTGAAAAGTAGTGATCATCCAGGATATATATATCCCAGAATGCTTTGCAGGTAGAGCTCTCCTCGCAAAGCATTATGGGATTCGATATCACAGCGGCCCGCGGCCCATAGGCTGTCACAACTCGACTGCGGCGAGGAATAATGTCTGTCTAGGGGTTAGAACGGGGATTCTGACACAGCCTGAATCTATCTGAGCATTCTGTTTATGTCTTTACTATGGTCTGGTCCCATATGAGAAGATTATCACCCCCCCTAATGGTCTGGACCCCCGATGTTATGCGGTGCTAGTTTGCAGCTTTTCTTAATTTGCAGCTATTTTTGGTACTTACAAAATTTTTCCTGTGTTTGTGTTTTCAGTAGGTTTTGAGTTCTCATAGTCCTTGTTTATTTATTTATGGGGTTTTTTCGGGTTTGCAGTTCTTTCTGTATTAGTTGTGCATTTATGTATTTGCAGCATGTGTGTAGGCACAGGATAATGTCCCCTTTTCATGGGTACCAACTAGTGTTGTGCCGATGCCATTTTTTGGCCCCGATACCGATACCCGATACCTGGCTGTGCAGTATCGGCCGATACCGATACCATAATAACGTAAAATAATTGCCATCACGGCTTTGTCAAGCTACTGCTTACCTTTGTGAAGCAGGAAAAAATCTAATACAAAGTGAATCCAGTAGAACTTTTTATTGCCTACCAGGAGTGGGTGACAATAGTTGAATAAACTTATGGCTCTCAAAATGGTATCGGTGCCCTATTTGTTGGTACTCGCCGATACCGATACCACCATTTTAGGGCAGTATCGGCGCCCCGTCCGATACTGGTATCGGTATCGGTGCAACACTAGTACCAACTGTAGTCACCTAAGTATTTGCTCAAAAAGGCAAAATCTATAACTCCCCTCCCTAGCGTAACAGCCTTCATTCTTGTCGATGTTGCTGATTTCAGGCCACCCTGCTATGATTCATATTGCATCCAAGCAAATATTGAAAATAGTTATGTTCCAAGAAAGTTTTATAGCCTAAAATGCTTTATAGATCAATTCATCAAGTTGCTTCTGATCAATTCACCAAATCTGTTTTATTTGCATTACAGTGTTGATAATTTTTCTCTTAAATTTTAATATTCCTGTTGATTTATCTACGTTTTTATCTAAGTTTTCCAACCAAGTTTGTATTAAAACTGTTGATTTGCTCTATATGGAGATTCAAAGATTTCAAAGCAAAAGAAAAACAACTGCTGCTTATCCAGTCTATCCCTGCCACCCTCAGTTAAGGTCTGTTAAAGGGGTTTTCTGCTGAATTTCAGCACTAACATTATGGCCTCATTACTGCGTAAAAATTAGGATTTTTAGTCGGCCTTCCCCTTTTATGGTTTCTGCTACACTAGTTTTTCTTCCATGATACGCTACAGAAATATCCAGACGTATGTATATCTATATATATTTATATATATATAAAAACATCATCATCAGTAGTAGTTAGAGTAGAGTAGTAGTAGTAGAGTAACAAGTAAGAAGAAGGAACAATATTGTACTTTATATCAGAGTCATCACCATCGTAATCGGCTTTAATTGAAGTTTACTGGGACTGTAGGGGATCCTGTGGTGGGACCCAGATGGGGACGAGTCAGCGCCACAACTGGCTGAGTAAATCTTTGTGTGTGTTTGGGTGCTTACGGGGATCTGTGTGTCTCAGTCAGTTGTGTGACATATGTCTAACGGCCATACACTTTTGGTAGCTCCTTTCTTCTCTGATATTTACACTAAGTACCCTCATGTATGTAGGTCGGTCGGTTGTGTGCAGCGATAGCTTTGGGACATTTGTGTGAAATTGCTTCATCTGTTTTCATTCATGGATTGTGCTATGCACGTCAGGATTAAGCATCTTTCAGTTAAAAAGATAAAGATGAGGCCACAGTACAGACTATGACTCTGTTGGTCAAATGTCAAGACAAGTTAGACACCAAAAGAGACACTTTGTCTCTTTGTTTTGCAGCTGGTCTGCAGTTTACTGAACGGGATAATAAATAACATGACAGGCTGCACCTTTTTAGAGTAATGAACTGCAACATGACGTGTGTACAGCTAAAAGTGAACCAGTTTCACACAATGCTGTCAGAAAGAAGGTACAGCTTTGCATCACAGAGATTGCACCTTTGTACAAGAAGCTGCCACCTCCATGATACATGATAAAAAGAAGTGATTTTATACCTTTTCTGTCTCCCAACACTTTCACCACTAAGCTCAAGTCCCACTACCCTTCCCCCAGTATTATCCCTCATGTGTGCAGCGGTGCCTAGGTGGCGCTCTCCCCGGCTCCAGAGGACGCCCCGCTGGGTTTTGGCTCGAGTTGGTCGGACTGAGCCGTCTGTGGGGAGGAAGGGCTCAGTGGGTCTCCTCTCTCGACCCTCTCCTGGAGGTTGCGCTGGTTCCTGGCGGCCTCTGTAAGCATCTGCATTCGGCGCTCCTGGTACTCCTCCAGGCCTCGCCAGAGGTCTGCACGCTCCCTTTCTCGCTTCATCTCCCTGGTGAGGCAGTGGGAAAGAAAAGATGGAGGAAAATATCAAGACGGTTAAAGAGAAGAAAACATGAAGGCAGATTTCTGATGTTGTTGTAGCCTTGCTTCATTTCCTTTCCGCCTTGTGTCTCTCTTTCCTTCCATTCACCCTTATTTACTTCCTTTCTTTTCTTTGTTCCTTATGTTCCAGTCCCTGTTTCTTCCCATTTTGTGTCTGACCTCTCTTTGTCCCTTCTTTAGTTTGTGTGTTATTTTCTAGCAGTTATTTATGGAAAAAAAATATTGAAATGTGTAAAAAACAAAATCCAGATAACAGCTTGCAATAAAAAATTGAAGTGTTGCTAAACCCTTCCTTCAAGGTATCAGGAAGGTCTGAGGACCTAGAAGTCTCTGCCAATCTAAAAAAGAACCATGAACTTTCCAACCTGAGGAAGAAGTAAGATTGTGCAGTGGATAAACAGGCTAAGTTAATAATTTTCCTGAATTAGTTTTTATCTTCAGTTTAAATAATTAGCAGGAAGCGCTGTTTGATTACAGGATGACCTAAACCACGCTGACTCCTGGAATAACTTCTAACTGGATAGATAATGGAACAAAAACTGTCTCAGGAATGACTTCAGATAACTCCTGCTGTCCCTGTCGTATCCAGTGATGCGAACAGAAAAGGACAGTGAGTCATACTCACTTCTGTTTCTCCACTTTGTAGGAGGCAGTGAGGTCATCAAACAGTTTGCTGTTCATCTCCATGAAAGTCTTCAGCACGTTGTAGATCAGAGACACGATAGTTCTAGAAGAGTAAAGAGAAGGAAAAACCTGAATCCACTTGATCGCGACACAAGATTTAAGCTGTGGGTGAGGCACCATGTAAAGTAACAGCCTGCGGCTGAAAGTAAGCAGATAATAAAGTAGTTTAGATGGTTCTTCTTTTTCTGTCCAGTTCCTCTGCAGCAACTTGCTAAAGTATTCACAGCTGCACGTTACAGCTAAAAACTAGATGAGGTAGACCAACACAAAGTAATGTATTTTGGGAAAGTGGAAGGTAACAATTCAATCTCCTTTACTCATATACTCCTAAATAAAATCAGTGTGTCGCAGTGCGTTTGTGGCAGGTATGACTCAGATATTTTTGATTTATGCCCAATATTGAAGCATGGTCTGCGCTATGTTATTCCACGACACAATGCAAGAGGGACAATCACAAACTAGCTGTGGGTCTAGATACGGCCGAGGCAGTGAAGAAGTGGAAAAATGCAAGAGGCAAATTTGTGCGACAAAGGAGGGGTGATAAAGTGTGCAGGATCCAGGTGGAAAAAGGGTCCCAGCATTCTTGCTCTTCTAGCTGGTCCAACTTCACAAGTTGGACCAATGGCGATCATACATACAAAACAAGCCAGTAAGGTACCAAACAGGAAATATAGTGGAGAGCGGATGTAGAGTTGACCAATCAGAGGGCTCCTGTCTGCGGTCACCCACAATTTCAAAGAGGTGCAGCAGAGTGTCTCCGTCTCTGCGTTAACTGCGACACGCACACAGTCGACCTGGTTTTCGAGTATAAATCAGACTTTAGTTCTTGTCAGTGTCATGGCGGGCCAGGGTCTATCTGTGATTGTAAGGGCAAGAGGCAAGACACACCCTGGACAGGTCGCTAGTCTGTCGCAGGGCAACACAGAGACACACAAAGACACAGAACCATTCACACACACTAACACCTAAGGAGAATTTAAAGAAGAACAGTCATGCTTTTGGACTGTGGGAGGAAGCTGGAGAACCCAGAGAGAACCCATGCATGCACCGGGAGAACATGCAAACTCCTTGTAGAAAGATCCCGGTCCTGGATGTCCTGGATCCTGGCGGCCAGTGGAAAGAGGTTTTTGTGTTTGTCCCGTCTCCTGATCGTCCACTGTTCCTCCGCCGGGTTTTTGGCTCTATGTGCGGGGAGGTTCAGTTTTTATCTCAGTAAGCCTGGCTCCAGGGAGGAGACCAGTTTAAAGTCCTGCATCAAGTTCTGGTTCCACGTTCTGCCTTGGCTACCCTCTTCCACTGAGCCTGCTCATCTGCACCTGATCCTATCTGCTCCTGTGCGTGACCACCTGGTCACGCTTTCGGACCCTGTCAGACTCTGAACTGTCCTGGGAGCTTGTGGATGCCTGGAAGTCTGGATCCTGCCACCTGTTCTGTTCCTGCCTGATCTGGATCCCTGACCAGGATTGGCTTCCTGCAAGACCTCTGGGACTGCAGCACTTGGGGACATTCTAGGACTGGACTGTTAAACCAGGTAAGTAGCCAACTCAGATAATCATCTTCTGTCAGATGACCGTGGTCACTTACCTGTGTTTCTCCCACAGAGAGTGTCTGAGATTGGGCGGTGCCCCGCCCCCCTCCTGCAGTGTCCGCGAGCCTCAGCTCCACTTTAGTTTTCTTTATTTAATAAACGTTTTGAACTTTCCTACTGACTGTTTTTCCTTGAATACTGGGTCCATCTGTCCTCTGTTCATGACAGTCACCTTGATAGTAAATAAAACCCAGCTGGTCTGTGAGGGCCTCGGGTTTATTATAAAACAAACAGCATCATAAAGCCCAAGGACCATAGCGGAAGATGTGGTTAAGTTTAAAGCAGAGTTAGGTTATAAAACAATGTTTATGAATTTTGACATCTCACAGAGCTCTGTCCAGTCTATCATTTGAGAATAGAAACAGCTAAGCACAACTGTACATCTACCAGACATGGGTCTCCTGCTAAACTGATAAGAACCAAAGAGGCGACCGAAAAAAAACAGGGGTCTACAGCTCAGGTGGGTATCTGTTGAAGGGAATCATGAGTCATACATCCACAAATCGGGCCTCGATGAAAGGGTGAGAAGAAAAAGGTCAATCTGGAAGAAAGCTTCACTTTTGTCATAAGCAACAAGGCTGAGCTGAAAACCTTTATGATGGAATTAAACTGCTGTAAAAAGCCTAAATCTCCTACCAGAGTTTAAGATGTTTAGGTGCAAATTTAAATAATACAGCTTGTGACCGAAAACAGGTAAGGATGACTCACATAAAACACAGACAAGTAAAAAATCATGACAGGTTTTGCTGTAAATTGGATTTTCACCTAAAAAACAAAGGGTTGGATTGTGTATGTCGAGCTTAAAATGCATCTGTTTTCACCAGAATTATTGTTTGACCATCAGTTTCAACAAATATTAGTTTATAACACATTATGTTTTGTTTCAACGGCACACTACAAATAGAAATACACACTAAAAAAGCAATGATTAAAGTTGGTGTGTGTGTGTGTGTGTGTGTGTGGGCCATACTGGTTCCAGTGCTCCTTTGAGACTCTGTAGAGGGTGCCGAACACCAGTGGCAGGATGACTTGACAGTTCTCTTCTATCAGACTGAGGATATACTCATTGTTCCAGAAGTAAAGAGCTCGCTCCGCTACCTGTAACATAACAGATTAGCTTAGTTTTATTTATCAGGCAGCTAGTGAACTGTGAACTGGTTCCTACGGGTTAGTTTTAGCCTCTGTAGTGCATTTGAAAATAATGATATGGTAGTTTTGTAAATTTATTTTACAAAACAAAAGTGTAGTATCTGTGTTTGTGGGACTTCTGTATTTATTTCTAGTGTTATTCTTCCACTTTGGTATTAATGTATCACCTGAAAGTGAGGGCTGGAGATACAGGCAGCAATCTGCTTAAAGAGAGGGTCCTGGATACGGATGAACTGTGACGGCTCTATCACGTCCAAGATCTCCTCAATCTCCCCCAGAAACATCACCTGAAATCCCCCCACACAGACACAACGGTTAAGTTAATGCATGACATAGAAAGGGAGGAGGAAAAGGCAGTAGGAGGGGGCAGACATTAACCAGCTGCTGCTCTTTACCTCTTTCTGGGTGCAGGTTTTCGGCCAGTACTTGAGCAGCCCCCTGATGATCTGCAGGATAAAAACATACAACAAAGTAAAGTAAACTGTGGCATCTAAAGGCACTGAAAGAAGTCTGGGATGTTGATACTGATATTGTAGAAATATGCATCTTTATAAGTTAAAACATTTGCTTTAACAAGAAATTTTTGGTTTATCTGTGCATAATGTATACATTATTATGAAAATAGAGAACAATGTGATGACAGTGTTAGGCCTCCAAACCAAATAATACATTGAAAAAGCACCACAAGGTTCACATATGTTGTTATGCATACACTGGCAACTCATGCTTCCACGCAAAAATTACATTATTAATTTTGCTTATTGAGTTGTAGACTTACGTATTCAGTCACTGTAGCATCTTTCTCCATAAACTGCACCACACAGTAGGCCAGCTGTAACAACAGAAAACACTACAGTTTGGATGAAGGCAGAGACCATGATGAATGTAGTTTTTAATGGTAAGGGACACTTGTTTAGTGAGTATTTTTATAAAAGATTCCACTCTTCAAAGATAAATAATAAAAATGATGTTGTTACATGTGGAGTTCAACAATGATTGGTGCTAGGCCTAATATTTTATCTGTGGTTTACTAAGGTTGTTAGAATTTGTGATGTGAAATCCGTAGAGTAAGGATTGGGATCATCTTTTCAGATGTTAGCCCCTATATTAACTGAATTAAAACTGCTTTTAATTTCAAGTAAAATCGAAAATGTTTGCAGGATTACCATACATTTTGGAAAATTTATATTGCCAGCTTACTGTAGACTTACAGAACTTCTAAATGAACATGAAAGGTTTTTGAACTTGAACAGCAGATGATGCAGGTGTGGTGGTTTCTTTTTTAAAGTTTGCCGTAGTGAAAAATAAATCTAGATTCTATGGGCATATTTAAGAGCAGTCAGAGAGAAAAAAGGCCATAAACTCCTAAATCTGTGCAATAAGCAATTTAGAGGCATGGATGCTCTATCCAGCTGGGAGTCCTGTCTGTGAAATCGTATACTTTCATGATGAGAGCGTTTCAGTTGAAGCCTTCATAAACAAATCAAAATATTAAGAATGAATTGCAAATGGAGGGAGCGACAATCATGTGCTTTACGTAATCTTAAGGCATGGCTGCTGAACACTAATGAATTGACGAACGCACGTGTGCATTGGCCAATGATGATGCAAGAAAAAAAAATCTTTTAAAAAATGCAGCGAAAAAATATGTAATGATCTATCTCTAGCTCACATCATGAATAGGCTACCTCTGCTGTAACAGGCTCCTCTATACTGCATCCACAGCCCAGATATGCTGCAATAGCTGCAGCATATACCACAATAACACCACCATGGAAGTTTTGTGGATGCTTGAAACAGACAGGAAGCTTTTTATGCTCAATCATGCATGGTGAGGAGTACAGTTTCAACCTCTCCAAGACTCATTAAGGTTCCTAACAGATTTAAACTGAAATAATCTGGTGCAAAGCGGGAAATAATATCTGCAAATTAGCAGAAATAAAGTAAGGTTTGTGAACTAGGTCAAATAAAATCAGGCTCGTAGTGCTTAAAGCCAAAAAATAAAAAGACAGCATTATGCCTGTAAAACTTGAAAGAACCAGCAGAACTACAAGCGACAACAAATTGGGAACAAAAATTTAGCACTTTTAAAAACAAAGATTGGCAAAAAAAAAAACAGTTCAACTTCTTTAAATTCTTCTATCTGCAACGTTTTTTTATGAATGACACCAGTTTATAGGTATGGCTTTAATGAATGTACATACGTATATTTCTGGAGAAAAACTAAAACTTGGGTGAACTCTCATTTAAGTACTCCCTCCAGCTGTTAAAGAGACAAGAATCTTTGCCCTAAAATTTAAATGGCGCTAAAGTCTGGAGAGAGAGCTTTATTAATTCTGTTTGAGTAGAAATATCCCAGCCCTCGTAAATACCCCCGGTCGGTCCCTATTATCCAGAGTGGGTCGGTACAGTACGTGTGTGTGTGCTTAAGTGTGTTTTGCGGTTGCCCCCTCCAACCAGGCCGGTTGCTGTGGTGAGTGAGCGCGTGTTTACTTCGGAACGAGTGATGTCACACGCATGAAGTCCCCTCAGGCTAACGTAGGATATAGTTTAGACCTCCCTTCTCCCTTTTTATTGTTTTCTGTTTTTAGCTTCAATCAAACCTTATTGTTTTTTATGATCTGTTTCAATTCTGATTACAGCAAACTAAGGTTGAAGTTTTAGGTTCTGATGATGTCCGTCAGAGTGTTTGAGTATGTAACATGTCTCCCATCTGTAGCACGTCATTGTTAGAGAATTAAGAACGGAGGAGGGCTATAAAAAGAATCATACGAAAACAGATATGTTAAGCTTCAGCACAAAGGAAAGAATAAAAAAGAGCTGCCACAAAATATTGCTGCTGAGAGGTGGAACAATTACAAGCATTAGAAACGCATTAGAGAAACTGTTTGGGGTAAATATGTTGGAGTTTGTTGTCAGGCTGGGCTTGGTCGGGACAGGAGTGATTCTTTGGCTTTAGATTATGACCTTAAGTCATTTAAAGGCATAAAAGTGAGGGATTTACTCACTTATTTTTTTTGTATGAACTCACATAGAGTAGAAATATTTCAGAAACCTGGTGTTAACCTCTAAACACAACATTTGTTAGAACAAGCAGGCAGTCTAGGCTTAACGTTTTGTAAAGTACAGGGATTTGAGAGAGCACCTGCTTCCTTGCAGATTACTTATTTTAGCACATCATTTAGACCATCAAAGATTTTAAATATCAGACAAAACTAAATTAAAAATGAGTTTTATTTATAGGTTTTATCTAGGAATGGAACAAAACTATTCAACTCAGGGTGAAAAAGTAATCGCTCCCTGTTTAAACTGACCAACAAGGGATAAAATACAAATTATTTTGCTTCCCCTTTACCAGCCACACCTACGTGATTTGCACAAAACCAGCTTAAAGGAACCCATCTGACAACACGAGGTAGACCAAAAGACTCTAAATAAAGTACCTGGTCTACAGATATTTAAGAATTCATACAACACATAAACTCAATTATATAAACGTTTATAAAGCTATTTCTAAGGCATTGGGACAGCAGTAAATCATAATGTAAACCACTATATATCAATGGATAAGACAAAAAACAGTTGTAAACCTACACAGGAGAGGGCAGGGTGTGGGAAGTGGCAAAACTACCAAAATTACTCCAGGAGCAGCATCAGCAAATAATCCTAGAGGTCATAAAGGACCCAGAACATAATCTAAAAACCCTAAGCTCTCAATAGTCTCAGTTAAGGTTAGTTTTCAAATTGTAATTGAAAGCAGTCTTTCCTAAAAATAGCAGTTTCAAGGCAAGAACCACCACTGAACAAAAAAGAAGAAAAGTTTTTGGTGGTGTGATTGTCTGGGCCTCTTTTGCTAGATCAGGACATGAAATGTCCAACCAACAGTTCGTGGCGACCACATATTTAGTTCTGCTTTACTTCTCTGGTTAAAAAACATCCATGCAGAGAGTAATTTTTACCTCCGTGTAAAAACTGCTCATCAATAAAATTCTTGTCGGCATGAGAAAGTCTATATATTAAAATCTTTTATATGGGACACTGAGCATTTTTTGTGACACACTGATATGGCCAGGAAACCGCTGGCAGAGAAAGTATCACTGAAGTTTTCTCTCTCTGCACTGAAAGGTTTTTTGTTGGTCATTCCTTTTATTTTGTTCCAAGGCTAAACTAAAAGTTGGCTCTTCCTCCTCTACTGATCAGATGATACGATGGAAGAGGGAATATGTTGGAATTTCTCCCCAAAAATGTATTTAATGCAGTCGACTATGAAATCCCAACATTCGAGGACAGTGTGCTTGTAGTCCCTGCAGATTACAGGGTGTGCGGTTCGTTTAGGGATTTAATGCATTTGGGTTATGCAGTGGGAACATTGATCAGAAACCCATTTGTATGTTTTTTGTTTTTTTGTTTTGTCTGACTATAGCATGACCTCAAGCAAGCTGTAAAACCTTCCAAAGTGGCTCCTTTCTAGTTATTGTAAACACCTGATATCAGCCGCTGCTGTCAAAGATAGAAGAACCACTTTTTGGAATCAATTTAAAAAACATTATTAACTAGAATATTTTCCCTTAATAAGCCATAATTTAAGGGCCTTAGTTTGTTTTCACTCAGCCTAAAAAGGCAAAATTACACTAAATTCTGCACGGTGAGATTTTTGCTGCACAATATTCCAAATCACTCTAAAATATGCATTTCATTTGGGGTCCGGCAGATATTTTAAATTCAGTTATTTTTTCTATATTAGCAAATAAAATTGTTGAAACTTTGGCTATGTATTTCACACATAATGTCTCACTGATTTGCCTGATTTTGGGTTGTTTTGATAATATAGTTCTGAAATTGATTACAAGTGAAAGCACGGTATATTTCACACATTTAAATTGAATCGGTAGGAATGCTGCAGTTTGACATTTTTAACCCAGAAGTAGGTCAGTCCTGCTCCTGTCTCCCCCCTGATCCCATTAAAGGGAGTTTTTTATTAATGCTGTGTTAATAATGTATGTGTGAGAACCAGGAAAGGAGCAAAGGGGAGAAATGTAGGGCACCCAGAATACACAAACACAGAACAAAGCAGACGAAGAACAAAAAGCACCTTCTGTATAAGCAAATAATGAAACACAAATAAAAAGCACAAACATGCAGCCTGTCATCTGAGCTATCAAATATTATGACTCCATAAACACAAACACGCCCAAGCACACACAGAACAGCACAGCACAGAGGTGAGTTTATCACTGCAGTATATTTATGGCACACTTCCCCCACCTAGTGGCAGACATGACTCATTGCAGTATTCTCTATGCAGCAGTCAATATAAAAGCTTCATTTCTTAGTTCTCCTTTTTATTGGCTTTATTGAGAGAATTTACTGATACTTGGATCTGGTGCCTAATGGGTTTTCTTCCAGTATTTCACTGTATTCATCTCCATCCATCCTTACATTAACACTGATCAGTTTTCCTGTCATGCCCACAGTGCCAAGGCACCAACATACAGGTGCTGGTCATAAAATTAGAATATCATGAAAAAGTAGATTGATTTCAGTAATTCCATTTAAAAAGTGAAACTTGTATATTATATTCATACATTACATACAAACTCATATATTTCAGATGTTTATTTTGTTTAATTTTGATGATTACAAATGACAACAAATGAAAATCTCAAATTCATCATATCAGAAAATTAGAATATTGTGAAAAGGTTCAAAATTGATGGCCCCTGGTGCCACACTCTAATCAGCTAATTAACTCAAACCACCTGCACTTGCCTTTAAATGGTCTTTCAGTCTAGTTCTATAGGCTACACAATCATGGGGAAGACTGCTGACTTGACAGTTGTCCAAAAGACGACCATCGACACCTTGCACAAGGAGGGCAAGACACAAAAGGTCATCGCTAAAGAGGCTGGCTGTTCACAGAGCTCAGTGTCCAAGCACATTAATAGAGAGGCGAAGGGAAGGAAAAGATGTGGTCGAAAAAAGTGTACAAGCAAGAGAGATAACCGCACCCTGGAGAGGATTGTGAAACAAAACCCATTCAAAAATGTGGGGGAGATTCACAAAGAGTGGACTGCAGCTGGAGTGAGTGCTTCAAGAACCACCACACACAGACGTATGAAAGACATGGGTTTCTGCTGTCGCATTCCTTGTGTCAAGCCACTCTTGAACCACAGACAGCGTCAGAAGCGTCTTGCCTGGGCTAAAGAGAAACAGGACTGGACTGCTGGTGAGTGGTCCAAAGTCATGTTCTCTGATGAAAGTAAATTTTGCATTTCCTTTGGAAATCAATGTCCCAGAGTCTGGAGGAAAAGAAGAGAGGCACTTCATCCACGTTGCTTGAAGTCCAGTGTAAAGTTTCCACAGTCAGTGATGGTTTGGGGTGCCATGTCATCTGCTGGTGTTGGTCCATTGTGTTTTCTGAGGTCCAGGGTCAACGCAGCCACATACCAGGAAGTTTTAGAGCACTTCATGCTTCCTGCAGCTGACCAACTTTTTGGAGATGCAGATTTCATTTTCCAACAGGACTTGGCACCTGCACACAGTGCCAAAGCTACCAGTACCTGGTTGAAGGACCATGGTATCCCTGTTCTTAATTGGCCAGCAAACTCTCCTGACCTTAACCCCATAGAAAATCTATGGGGTATTGTGAAGAAGAAGATGCAATACACCAGACCCAACAATTCAGAAGAGCTAAAAGCCACTATTAGAGCAACCTGGGCTATCATAACACCTGAGCAGTGCCACAGACTGATCGACTCCATGCCACGCCGCATTGCTGCAGTAATACAGGCCAAAGGAGGCCCAACTAAATACTGAGTGCTGTACATGCTCATACTTTTCATGTTCATACTTTTCAGTTGGCCAACATTTCTATAAATCCTTTGTTTTTATTGGTCTTCAGTAATATTCTAATTTTCTGATATGATGAATTTGAGATTTTCATTTGTTGTCATTTGTAATCATCAAAATTAAACAAAATAAACATCTGAAATATATGAGTTTGTATGTAATGTATGAATATAATATACAAGTTTCACTTTTTAAATGGAATTACTGAAATCAATCTACTTTTTCATGATATTCTAATTTTATGACCAGCACCTGTAGTATTTTACAGTGAGGATGGCATGTTCAAAGTGATATACAGTGTAAGATGTCTGCCATCTTTAAAGCCTAAAAAGCTTCATTTTCATCTCATCTGAATAGAGCGTTACATGGAACCTGTGTCCCCCTCATAGCTGTTAACATAATAGTTTTTCTGCCAACATATAATGCATCTGTTCCCATTACCTCTTGATTGCCTCGTTGAATAACTCTTCTGTTCTAGCCTGTTATGAATTTAAATGCAAAACACCAGACAAAACACACAGTATGGAAACTAGTAGATTTAAGAATGATTCTTTATTTTTGTTTTTTTCTTTAGACGTAATAAGGTCCACAGATATTTTAATTGACTTTGACATTTCGAAGAAAAATTATGCCAAAATAAATATGAGGTACCTTCACCGGTATTTTAAAACTAATAAAATACTTAATAGTAAAAGACATAAATCCTGGTTTGCTTGGGCTGTTTGTTTTGGTTGCACGGTTAGTGGTTTTTCACTATGAAGTTGGCATGTGTGGATTCTTCCCTGGTGACTGAGGTTAATTATTTAGTCTCACTAGATTTTTGAGTGTGCACATTTTGAGGTATGAGTGTGCACAGTTGTTGGTCCAGTATGTCTCTATATTGCACTGAAATGGACTGGCGACCACACCCCTATCCCCCCATGATTATGCTAGGACAAGAGTGTATAGAAAATAGATTCACATCATTGTTTTTAAGTTAATCACTGACCTGTGCATGGAAGATGGAGAGGGACTTTGCTGTATGTAGCGGGATGAGGACCCGCACCAGGAACTGCTTGTGTTCAGCTTTCAGGGGCAGAGCAAAGCCATTTATGATGCTAAAAAAAAAACACAAAAGGAAAACAGTTATAGTTTCTCTTTGATCTGATTTTCTCCTATATTTGCTGCTGCTGTGGTGGAAAATAAGACATAATTGACTACTTCTTCTTTCTTTCATACACATCAAATAGATAATGAGAGAATTTGAAGAGCATTGATTAGAGGAGCATTTGAATTTCTGATATTCACACAGTAAAAACAGTTTTGTAAAGTATTTTTAGGTTCACGGCGAAAATGAATATCAACAAAAGGAAAAAAATTGGCAGCCTATTACAGTTGAGACACTTAAATAAGTACCTTTTTTATTTACAAGTTCAATTATGTCTCTTAAGCAGGATATGATTTAGAGTTGAAATGATTTTTATCCAGTTAAAAAACGGGAATCAGATAAGGGGAGATCAGACAAGGATCCTTGTAAAGGTAACGAGTGTAATAAGAGTGTCAGCCTTTTTCAAGTAAAAAAAAAAAGAAAGAAAAAACTGCATGGCAAAAAACTATTTATACTCTCACTAATAGTTTTCTTCTGGTTGCTGATTAACTCGTAGCACCTTTCAGCTGGTATTTTAACAATGATGAACACAGAGGGCCTGGTCTCCAAAAATAAAATAAAATGGGGACTGAATGTCATGTGCGTTTTTTTTTTGTTTTTTTTTTTCTAGTATGTGCATAAGCGGTCATGTTGCGGGTATTCTTGAAAGATTGCTGTGCAAATCTGTTTTTGGAGCAGATTTGGTTTCAGCCATTAAAATAAGCTGTTTGTGTGTTCAACATGCAATTTGTGAGTAGTTGTAAAAGGAAGATGAGGTTCTAAGCCATGTAGTGGAAGTATTTAATTTTATAATTATAATTCTAAATATTATTCGTAGAGCACTACAAATATAAAAATATATTAAAAACGAAAAATAAAACATAACAAACAGTTCTGACCTGCCCCCCAGGAGTTCATGCCCTAAAACAAGTACAAAATGTCTACAACATAACAGTGCTTTTTGCGCACTCACCATGTCTCTTGAAGGTTTTATTAAAATTCTGTTTTTTTTATTTGCCAAAATATTTAAGTTTCGTCCTTTTTGTTTTTAGTGGGTTAAATTATAAGAAGAATGTCTGCCATCTCGCTGAATAGACATTTTTCTTTATTGATATTATTCTACTAGTTATTTCAGACAGTCCAATGTCTATAAGTCTACATCTACTTTTGCTACATCATTTGACATCATTCCGATGCTTCCTTTGTGGCAATCAATGACCGCAGACAGTTTTTCTGTGTCAGTTTGCACCTCAATTTTAGAAATACCCAAAAATATGTAAAAACTACTGCTAAGGTTGAGTTTCTGATAAGGAAATTTGCTTTATGTGGTATATGTTTACACCTGCATATCCATCACCCATGAATTTGTAGTTCGATCATTAGAATATGATCTGCATGTGAGATAAACCAGGTTTGCATATGCTGTCCGCTGACTTGCACATGCTTTAAAGATCTGCTTTCTTCAAATAAGAATGTTTGCACCTGTTTAAAGACACACAAGCCTCAAAAGATAATGCCCCAAGTCTTGGTTTAAAGAGATCAAAGCTATGACTCCTAACATTTAGCTAGACTCTGGCTTGGCTATGGAAAATATCATGGTTATTTTAGTCGCATTGAGCTTTAATATATGAAATAATTTATCTAATTAATTTAATTGTACTTAAATGAAAAGCTAATTATTGTTTTTATATCAAAATCTAGTCTCAGTAAAACATGTTTAACTTTTATCTTTTAAACAACAGAATAAATTGCTGCTGTTGTCCCCAGGGTATAAAAAATAGTGATTCTAAAATTAAGAACTGCACTGGATCTAAAAACCTTAGACTTTATATTACCTTTAGGCAACAAAAAGACTTTACTTTGACCTTTTTCTCTTAAATGAAAACATCTGAGTCTAGAGTATCTGTGTTCAGAAATATCCAAGGGTTTCCATGTACTTTTCAAATGTATTTGAAAAGTTGTGTGTTATTTGTGGTCGGGCTTCCAAAAGAGATCTGTGATCTCAATGGGACAAACCTGCTCTGTTAAAAGGAAAATGGATGAATGAATTAATAATGACCTTTAACAGCTACATGATGTTAACTGTTTATTTCTACTTCAAAAAGGAAGCAATCCAATCCTTAGGTTCAAACTATGTATCTAACTGTCTGTGAATGTTTCATTTTCTGTCTTTTATGCAGTTTTAGTCGGCTGATTGCAGGTAAATTAACTGAATGTGATCTCAATCAGCTTTTGTGACAATCCTCAGTTATGGGGATGAACCATGATCCCTTGATGCAACATTTTTTTAGTATCCATTAGCTTTGAAAGGATGTTGCATCATTAATGGATTAACAGTGTAATTCTCAGCAGTGACGATGGTACTTTAACCCCTGTAATAACTGCTAAAACATCATCTAATTCTCTACTGATTCAAACCTGAGAGTTCCTGAGGATTTATAGGCATTGGGTTCCAACTGACCAGGTTAATGCATAATAGTTTCTAAGAGTCTGAACAGGAGGAGAGTGGGAAGCAGACTTGGAACGTGTGACTGACTCTGAGCATTTCTCTGTTTGTAAAGAAGATTTATGTGTTTGTCTACCTGACTGTTAGATCTCATGTCTAACTGGCGTCTTTGTGTGTTTTGTAGAGAGCTGCATCCTTCTTCCCGTCTGAAGTTAATTCTGCCTTCCTCGCATCGTTTTTTTCTCTGAATGTCTATCTTCTTCCTCTCTCTTACTTTTTGTTTTGCATCCTCTCTCACCCGTCAATTCCTCCCCCTGTCTGTGTGTGGGAGGAGCTATAAATACTTCCGTTACCAACAACATGAATGCAAGCCTCTCTCTCCCCTGGCCCTGCTCTTCTTCCCCCACCTCTGACTCACTCTTTGCTCGCTCATCCTCCTCTCCGACCATTCCTCTTTCATCTTGGACTCATCCTCATCTTGCTCCTTCCCCTCAATCTACAATCACCTTCTGAATCCTCACAACTCACTATTCCATTTAAAGGTTTTTTTTAATCATTGAACCATTAGCTAAAAGAATGGTTATGATTTATATTAATAGACAGGCTCTTGGGTTTTTGATATTTTTTGAAAACCCTTAAAACATTTGAAATGATTAAACAAAACAAAACAAAACACTAAAACAGATACAGTATGGTTCCCTAAATAAAAAAAAGTAATAATAATCGATTTACGTATTGTGAAGCCTTGTTTGTAGGCAGCATACATCCCATTTAGCATCTAAAGGCAGGATCGCTTAGTTAATGTTGTTTTAAGTAGTTTTAGGTTACTACAGAGGATCAGGAAGAAACCATCTCTAGAAAGCAGCATTGTTAGAACTATTTGTTTTTCATTTAGAGCTTTGTTGTACAGTTTTGAGTAGTGGTTAGCCTATCAGCAGTAGATATAAATCTGAGTATTTCAGTGGGAGATCTTTATATTTTAATGAAAGAAATTATTTAATTTTTTTTCTTTAATTGCGTCCAACTTCCTTTTTTAAGCATTTAATATGCAGTACATAGTATTGGATTTTTGTAAATATGTCTTGCGATGTATTTATAAAAAATAAAAACAAAGATAGTTTGTCCCGGAGAGTGAAACCTAAAGCTGTTCTGAGCAGGACCTGTTCCAAAGTGGACTTCTACTGTCAGAAACTATTGTTGTTATTTTAATCCTATCCATATTCTTTGTATTTTGGGTAAATTTCAACTGAAAAGGAACAAATTCATCAGGTTTCAATGGTCAAATCTGTCTTCAAACATGTATCTTCAGTCTCCAAATAGTTTGTTTCTTTCCTGTTGATGATTTTTTAAAATAAATTTTAAAAGTTTGCTCATGCAATAGGCTAATATTAGCTTGTTTTGATAAGACTTTTTAATCACTTAGCTGTAACATCTTTCAGTGCAATTCTAGTTTATTATAAACTAATGCAAGTTTTAGAAAAGGTTTTTCTTAAGGTTCACAAATTAGCTCTTTGTTTTGAACGTCATAAAATTTAACAACCAGTGTTTCAGTTGCTTCCTACACAGTTATGTATGAAGGTAGATTTGTTTCTTTACTCTCCAGTATTTAATAATATTATTATTATCCTATATTTTCAATTAAAAACACCTTCAACAAAACATTTTTAATAAAAGAAAAAAACAAACAAAAAAGCTTTAAAAAAAAAACAAAAAAACCTGACTTTTATCAAACAAACAAAAAACAGTTTCAATCAAAAAAAGCAGTGTTCAAATTTATTTTTTGACTAAACTATATTTTACATTCAAATACTATTTTCTATGATTGAAAACATTTACCTTTTCGTTAAAGTGACTTTTTTTATTGATTTTGTTGTTGTTTGTTTGAAGCAACTTTGTTTTTGATTGAATGATAAAGACACAAATTTCTATCCATTATAAGGTTGAATAAAAAACAATCTTACTTAATTAAAAAAGTTGCTTTAAACAAAAAAAACTTGACTTCTATTAAAGAAAACATTTTCAATAAAAGTAAAGCAGTGTCCAAATGTATTTTTTTGAGTCTAAACTATGTTTTTGCATTCAAATACTTTTTTTTCTTTGATTGAAAAGTTTTTTTTTTTTTCATTGAAGTGAAGGTGCTTTTAATTGAAAACATATTTTTCATTGAAGCAACCTTTTTTTATTGACTAATAAAGAAACAAATCTACCTTCATAGCTATCTTCATACCAATACATTTTTTTTATGCAATAACAATTTCATTTAAATACTGTGATGGTTTAAGATTCTAAAAATAGTCTCCACATACCCTGTAATGAAATGTTACATTTGCCGTGTTTCAGGATGAAAGAAGTCAGTTTTAAAATTAGCAAATTGATGTTTCCTAACATAAGTATGGTATTTATTGTTTATATTTTAACAGCAGGTTATTAAAAAAAAGGTTGAACTACCCATTTACCTGATCACCATGTTTCTATAAATATGAACAATAGAGTTTGTTTTTTCTATAAAAAGACATAGAGCCATTAATAAATGTTTAAAATTTAAAAACCAACAATGTTCTATTTATATATGGAGAAATATGCAAAACTAAGCTGGATAAAACACCTTCATTCTATTATTTCCTCAGCTTCTTACTTCTTTTTCTTATTATTATTAATATTCATCTTTATCTAAGGAAACACGTCTTGTTTATCAGTTTGGCTTCATATCTGTTTTGCTCAAATTATTTCCTCAGAGTCTCATTTTAGATATTATACAACTATATGACTCACATTCTGTGCTGGATGTCTCTCCTTCATGCCTTCTTTAAAGCTGCAACATCTATTCTTTACAGGCGGCATCACAGCTGCTTTATTTAACAAGTCAAACATCTAGTCATAAATTGATGATCTGTTCCTGTTTAAGAAAATGTTTCTTTATGCTGCTTCTAATTCCTGCTTCATGCCTGGGTGAAGGGGGCGGCTTTTTGATAACACAAACCTGCCGAGGATTTCCAACAGCTCTGCCACGCCGTTGAAGTGCTCAGTTTCATAAATGAACCTAAATAGAAGAGAAAGGGAAACTGTTAAATAGATGAGAGTGATTATCTTACTAAATAAGTTTAAAACATAGTTTACATTTTTTTTTAAAACAGTTTAATATTAAAACATCACATGATCAGAATCTGTCAGAAATGTATAGTTAAACATCTTAAGGAGATTTGGATCTGGGCACAATTATTTAACTTACAGGATAGAGGATGTTGATTTTTTTTTTTACAAAAGGATGTGTCTCACACGGTGATTAGTAAGCAGTTTGGACTGTTTTGGACCAATCACATCCTTTCCTTTCTATTCTTAGAAACATTGTATTTAGGTGAAGAAAGCACCAAAACTAAAAGAAGAGCTCAGCTTTTTTTCCCTGCAATCCCTGCATTACAAAGTTCCTTATTTCGATTTAACATGTGGAAAAGATGCAGATAAACAAGAGTAGCTTTCTAGAAACATTTTAAAAACATTAAGGGCCTTTCAGACGGGTTGCAACGCATGCAGTGTTGTGCTCTAAAACCCATCATTTTCAGCACTATGGGCCGTGCAAGGGCACCAAAGAGCTGCGTTGAACAAGCGAAAGCTCCCTACAATGTACCACCCAGATGCGTAGCCGATAGAAACGTTGCATCAGGATGGAAGACCAGACAGCAAAATGGAGAAGCTAGCTTTATGTGTCTGAATCCCACAAACTCTTTGATACAAGTTGAAAAAAGCCATGGCATGGAAACAAATCTCCAGCCAAATAGGTGTCCGTTGTGTTTTAAGTCATGTAGCTAAATGTTACGGTATTAAATATTTGTTGACCCACATGCCTCTGCTTTCTTACTGTTCTTGTCCTATCTATTAAAGCTAGTGCTTGCTTCTTAGTACAGGACAGATATAGCAGCATATGTGCTACAGACAGCACAACAAATTACCCAGTGTTCGGCTAGCACAGCGCCGAAACCCAGTGCAGCAGCGTGCAGGACTGAGTCTGCTGCACTTAAACCTAGTGGCAAGGCTCGCGCAAACCGTGTGATGTTTGAAAGGTCGTTTAATTAGAAAGAGATTCATGCAACAAGAGTAACAATAATTAAATGCTTTGTTTTTATATAAAAAAAACTATTCTTAACTTAACTCAACCTAAATAAAGCTTAATAGAGAGTAAGTCTGTTCTTCTCTCTGATAAGAGTTGATGTATGGAACTGAATGCAGTGATATTTAATTTTATTTTTGCAGGATTCACCTGAGGAAGATGTTGTTGATCTGTTTGCGGATATATGCTCGGAGGCCCAGTAATTTTCCATAGACACGGTGCAGGATCGTCTTCAGGTACTCCCTCTCCCTAGGGTCCTCGCTGTCGAACAGCTCCAGAAGCTGCAAACACACGTAATGTAATTACAGCCAGAAAATATGCAGCTCAACCACTTCAAGCAGTCGCAATAGTTCTCCAAACTCCCAGCAGCTTTCCAGTAGAGCCACTTCAGCAATGTACTGGTTTTTCATTACACAGAGATTTCAGCTCCAAAATGCAAAGCTGTTATTACATAAGGTTGTTTTAAAATATTATAATTCATAATTCTTTAAGATGTTTTAAAGGGCTACTTTTAAGCATTTACAGAACATTAATTAATAAAAAAACTAATTTCATTTATATTATGGGTGACAGACTATGCAGAGAAAGCTATAAAAATGGTAAAAGAAAAAATATAATTACATTTTTTTTTTTTTTTATTATGTTTTGTATTATGTATTATTATGTGTGTTCATCGATAGCTGATTGAAACTTATATGCAGCCAAACTGCTGCCTGATTTTGGCCTGGAGCTACCTGTGGACCTCTGCAGCTCCTCCAGATCAGAAGAGGGGAAAGGATCCAAAATTGTACTTAAGTAAAAGTAGCATCCCTTCATCATGTTTTAGTCAGGTAAAAGTAAAAAGTAGACTTTAAAGAAATTAGTCAAGCAAGAGTTAAAAAAAGTTTTTTGGTAAAAAGGCTACTGAAGTACTGATTAGTTGATCTACTTGCTACTATGATCATAACCACTGATTTAATATTTTTTGAGTTATTAAACTTAGACGATCAAGTGTTACAGTAACAGAATATGTTAAATTACATAAAAATTTTTGCAGTTTTATTACTTGACCTCCAAGTGACATGGCAGCATTTAACCAATAAGCCTTGAGTTCCAAACAGAAGGCAGTGCGCCTCTCAATGGTGCATATTTGTTTAAAACAAGCTTGTTTTGGTTAAGTGAAATCACAATGGATGGAGTAGCAAGAAATTTTACTCAAGTAAGAATAGTCAACTTTATAATATTTTTACTAAAGTAAAATTAATATTCTGTGAAACTACTCCTAATTTTTTTACTTGAGTAAATGTAACTGAGTCAACGTAAATAGTTACTACCCACCTCTCAGACTTCAGCTGTGCAGTCATGTCTTGCTATGCTTTCCATTGCTGTATTCATAGTAAGATTAAATTACACAGAGGAGAACTCTGTTTGCCATTCAGGTTAGTGCTTAAGGAAGACATTTAACAGGGGGTTCAATTGGGTTGGGCTTTTGAGTCCTAGTGCACATCCTTATTTTTATACTTCTTACTCTAACTAGAAAAATGTTAACATCATATATCTCTTTGTAAATAACCATTTAATTCTAATGTTACAACAGATTAAGGGTTCATAAAGTAGGATTTGCATAATCCTCAATTATGATTCTGGAGATGGTAAAGTTTGCTAGTGGAAAAGCTTTGCGTACCATTTGGGACAATTTCTGGGATCAACTGATCTGGAGTTATGTGATAAAAAGTTGGACTTTATGTTATGAAATAAAATGCCAGTGAAGCGTGGTGTGGTAGCAACAATGCCGTCATTTAAAGAACAGTTTTTTAAGGCAATGAAAAGATTCCAAGTTTTACCTGCAGGACAAATTTCTGGTCGATGTAGCGTTTGGCCATGGACGGCTGGAAGTCTGGACTCTCCAGGAATCTCAGAAAGAACTCATACACCAGCTGAGAGAAAGAGGCATGAAGTTTTGAGTCGTTTTTTTTACAAACTTCAACTACTTTGACATAATCAACTCTGATAGAAAAAAGTCCACTCTTTAGAATCACTTGAAAATGTTTTGCTCCTCATTTTACAGACCCCTCACAAAAGCTGATAGACGATGAAACACTATTGTTGGGAAAATCTTTAAAAAAAAAAACAAAAAAAAACTCCTTTGTTTCTAAAGATTTCAAACAAGCTATTGATTCAAATTTCAAGAACTGGTTATTTTCTTTCAGTTGTCATCTAAATGACATGACATTGTATAGTCATTCAACACGCTGATATTAGTATTCTAGTAACATTCAAAAACAAATCAACATCATCCAAGTATCTCCACCATAGACTGTTCCCCGAGCTGCCCTCTGGGAAAATACTTTGCAGCATTCCATGCAGGACCAGCAGGTTCTGCAACAGCTTTTTCTCCGCTGCCATAAGACTATTGAACTCTAAACTGGTGTCTGCATCACATTTGCATCATTATTTTTGCACCACCAACGTGATGAACTTTTATAATAGGACACACATCAATTGTCTACTGCATTTTGCACCATATTTATTTTTGCATTGTACTGAACGTTTTCATATTAATGCCCTTTTGCACCATTATTTAAAACACTTTTTTTTCTCCTATATTGTTACATTATGATGACTGCTGCACTATATAGTGGTAATGTTTATCCTACTCCAACTGCAACATCATTACACTGTTAAAAGCTGTATGCAGCAAAATCTCATTTTGTATACATTCACTGCACAAAAAAGGACAATACAGTTCGTCTAAGTCTAACATAGTAATAGTAGTGAATGGCGGCAGCAAGGAAAGTGGAGAATACATTTCTTTAAACCAATCTTTGATCATATGAATGGATGTTTAGGATCTAACACTTGAATTGATTAAGAGTTGGAAAATAGCCTTTTGAACACAGCCACAAAACTGTGGCTGGGTAATCTCAAACTTACCAGAAATAAATAAATCAAAGTAATTTACAAATAAACTTTGCCTCGACCACTGAGGTAAATGACATTCCTTCATCTAATGAGCTTGATCCTAAACATAAAGCCCTGTGCAACCTCTGGCTTTGTCGGGTGTTGTCATACCTGCAGATGTGGCCATGAAGCTTCAAGAGTCGGCTCGTCTTCCTCAGGGTCAAACTCTGGATTCTCACTGGGAGGAAGGGTGCGGAATATGTTGACGGAGATCTGGGGGGAAAAAAGGAAAATGGAGGGAAGAAGATATCAGCTATGGAGAGAAAGGAACTTCTTTGAGAAATTTGAGAGAAATTCTAACAGAGAAAATTAAAAACTCATTTAAAGATAGGACACATAAATTTAATCTGGTCTTTATCAGAATACACCATCCACATTTAATAACTACATATATTGTGTAAACATATTCCAACAAATATACTTTAGAATGTTAATGATATCGAACACCATTAAAATTTGCCTTAAATGTTGTTTAGCTTTACAAAAAAGGCTGCATTTCTAACAGACGAGCCTGGATGGGGACTTTAAATCATAAAAGACAGAAGAGAATAGAATAGAATAGAATAGAATAGAATAGAATAGAATAGAATAGAACATGCATTAATTTGATTGAAATTAAAGGTTTAACTCTATGATGCTGCCACCAGGCAGAAATTTTTAATAAACTGGTTAAAAAAAGACAAATAATTAATATAAACACTTAAAACATATATGGTACTTCAATAAAACTGAGCAACGTTCAGGTGAAGATTCAAAGGCAAAGTACAAATGACCTTTTAATATTTGTTCATTTTGAAGAACTGCAAAATGGAAGAGATCTAAGAGTCCAAAGAATAAAGTTAATTTTGTTTCTGCACTACAGTGAAAAAATGTACAAAACAAATCCAGATGCTTCACAGTTCAGCCAAGAAGAAAAAATGGAAATAAAAAATAAAAGGAATGAAAATATTCAATAAGCCAATAATCTCCATATAGAACAATAAACAGTTCTTTAATGCATTCAAGTCTTAACAAACGTTAGGAGTTTTATGTATTACTTATGTGTTTATATTATGTTATTAGTATCAATTGATATCTCTTTAACTAAAATATTTAATTGCCTTTGAATGACCTGGCGGTAATTAAAAGGCAAATATCATGGGTAGATTACCCATGATATTTGCTCAACTAAGAGTAGCACTATCTTAAAAACTTTTTACTCAAGTTAAAGTAGAAATAGGCCATCCATAGAAATGACTCAAATAATGGTAAAAAATGTGCTTTGTAAAATGAAAACTTGTGTACTGAGTTATAATAGTTTAACTATTAAGAATTAACTGTCTTTTATCCGCAATTTCAATCATATCAAGGTATTAATTCCCTGGATATTTGCAGGATGCCATTTATTTCCCCCATCATTCAATAAAACAATAGGATGCTTCACATTTAACCTTAAATAGTATGTCTGATCAAACAGATGGGTCGATTGGGCAGCAGTGCACAATCTCGGTAAAGGCGGGCATACTTTGTACCATTTTTTGCCCTTTTCGAGTTTCCGTCTCATTGTGTGCGTTGTGTAGTATACAGGTGGTAACGTGGGGCAACCAGCCTCTCACAACCACCTCCGGATCAGGAATCGTAAGGTCGGGAGACGCTGTGCGTGAGATTCTGCTAAATCGGCTTGTAGATCTGCTTCAACAGCAGGATTTGCCCATGAACACCTCACAAGGGCTGACTGAATTTCAAACATGTTTAATTTTCTCCCAACCTTATGATTTCTGATCGGGAGGTGGTCGAGGCTGATCGCCCCTCTTTACCCCCGTATACTACTGCACGATGAGGCTAAAACGATCAAAATAATTCTCACACGACTGGAGAATTGGCCTGAAAAGGGTAAAAAAATCGTAGAGTGTATGCGTGCCTTTAAGAGGAAGAAGCAGTTGCATTGCAGGCAGGAATAAAAATATATCTTTAGGGCTGTTTTCAGTTTCCAAGCTCCTCTCAGTAGTGTTGGTCATCTCTAATGCTGATATCAGCCTGAACAACTGATAAGTCATGCAACGACTGTTCACTAAGTCATCATTTATTCAGCGAATGCCTCTGCACTGACTCGCGTTCTCTGTTTTTCTTAAAGTGCTGCTTAAATCTGAATATCGTTTAAAAATAAGTGACATTATTTCTACTTCATGGCATTTTTTTTCCTCTGGATGTTAAACTACTGAATCAGATAATATACTGTGGATTCTGTCAGATCATGTTCAACCCTTGCAGGAGCTGAGACATTTAATCTGTTTGTTGTTTTTAATTCAGATCATAATATTATCTATTCTTGAATTTTAAAGCTTTATTAGTTAATGCAGAATATGTAGAAATGACCTAAACAGATATGTTCTGTTATGAGAATAGTGTTTTTAGGTCGGACAATATAGCTTATCTGTGTTATTTTGCACTGCACCAAATCTAAGCTATTGCTCATCCCAGTAACTTGTTCAAATTAGCTTTTTTTTTTTCTCTTTTTTATTATTATTGAGGCTTTTTTTAAGCAGACAGCTGCATATTGAATCATTCCTCTTTCCTTCCACCCCATTTTCACAACTCTGGGTAGAACTAATGAATGCCATAAGCTATATATGTGCTGCAGGCTTTTCTTGCTCCTGTGGGATGTCTGCTGTCCACACTCTGCGGCACGCTCCACCTCATCTCTTCTTCCATCCCTCTTGTTGTCATTATACGTGCTGACTTTTGCTTCCCTCTTTGCTACCTTCTGCTCTCCTCTCCTTTCTTCCGCTTATCAGTTCATCCTTATGCCCCTTTTTTATTGCCATGTAGGTTAGATCAGTGTGTGGGAGTCTTTCTAAATTTATTCTCTGTCCAGTTTTGACCCATTTGCAGATCAGCTTGACCATATATTCCTAGGTCTCTATAAATGAGTTTTAGGACTGGTGGCATTTGTCAATTAAGAATGTCTGTTAAACTAACAGCTGTGCAATCAAATTTATCTTTCAAGTTTGATTTTGACGCAAATTCCTTTTAAGTTCAATGTAATCATTTCCTTCTAAGCCGACCAAAAGTTTTGTGATTTATCTTTTACAGTAGGCCTGAATCTAAATTCTTACAGATTTAGCTGCTTAAGTGCTTTTGCATCTGTCACAGTTCTGGTTCTGTTATGTCTTCTTTTGAGTTTTAAGTTTTACTTTGCTCCATGTTTTCTAGTTTTAGTGGTTTAATTCTTATTTTGTTGTGTTCTCTGGTTATTTTTCAGGTTTTTATTTGTTGCCCTCTGCTGCCCTCTTGTGTTCTCCTTTTTCCCCAGCTCCTTTCCTGTTCTGCTCTGTTCAAACCTGCTCCCAATCTTCTCTTTAGTCCTCTCTTTGTTTCAGTCTCCCATAAATACACTCGCTATTCAGTTCCTCAGTGCTGGTTCCTCGTCAACTTCCTTCAACTCCGTATCTCTGAGTCTTCCTCCTTGTGATAGTTTCCCCCCGATGGTTTCTGGTTTGCTTGACTTTTGACTTTATTTTCATGTTTTGATTTTCGGATTTTGCATTCCTGCCTCAGTTTTTTTTCGTTTACTCTTCATTATATCATCAAGAAACTCACCTCTGCCTCCCTGCCACTGCATTTGGGTCCTCACACCACAACCAAATCCTGACAGCATCATTTCTTTGGTGAAGCAGCATCTGATGTAACCATAGAACCTCAACTCTGTTTGGACTGTTTGATCTGTTTGAGCTTTCAGAGTTAGAAAAACTTTTATCTTTATCTCAGACTTCAACTTTTCGTTAGATCCATTTACAACAAAGTTATTTAAGGAACTATTCCATTTGATTTTCATCTCCATTTTAGAAATGATTAATCTATCCCTAATACAGAAATAGGCTTTTAGAGTAGTTGTGATTACATCGTTAGTCTAAACCTATTCAAACCTATTAAACCTTTTCTGCATCCAGACTTGATAAATTATAGACCCTATATTGAATCTTCATTTCTTATCTAAGATTTTTCAGAAAATAATTGCTAATCAAGTGTGTGACCAGTAAGTTTTAGAGCTTATCATAGCACTGAAACAGCTTTGGTGAAAGCCACTAATGATATTCTCTTGACCTTGGATAATGGACTTGTACCTGTACTTCTCGTGTTAGATCTTAGTGCTGCATTTAATATAGTTGATCATAATAAACTTTTAGAATGGCTTGAAGGTTCTGTAGGTAGCCTGATTGGTAAATGGATTGTACCTATGTAGCCTTTATTAAGTCAGGAGATGTGTGTTCAGTCATTCACCCACTCATGCCCACACTGTTGGTGGCAAGCCACAGTATAGCCACAGCTGCCTTGGGGTGTACTGACAGAGGCAAGGCTGCTGTTCACAGCGCCATTGGTCCCTCTAACCACCATCAGTAATGGTGGTTATGCAGGTGAATTGGCAAGGACATGACACGTAAAGCTACAGTTGGGTTTGAACTGACAATCCTTCATTTGAAGGGCAAATTCCTTCATTCGTCTGACAATTTCCGTTTCAATTATGTTAATGATAAATCATCCTCAAACTTCAGGGTTACCTACGGAGTACCACAGGAATTAGTGATAGGGCAAATTCTGTTTACTATATGTATATATGATCTAAAATAATTATTTAATTTAAATCTTACAAATCTATGACATTGTCATGTGGGCTTTTTCAATTTTTTTATTTAGGCAAGGACTTAAACAAATCAAACTTCACTCATATATATACTATTTATTAATTCAATGCATTGTTGGTGTATGCAAACTTCTTAAAAGAAAGCAATGAACTCTTCAGTTATTGCAGAAAACCTAAAAAAACTTTAATAAGTTGAAACAGTTAACGTTTTGTCTGATTTAACATCAAATGGTAAGAAAAACCATTTGCATGCGTTTACCTCCAGTGTTAACATCTAGTTTTAAATTGTGATACATTCCCCTGTAATAATGTGCTGAAAAACCAAGGGTCTTTTACAGATTCATGACTGTCCCTGATATTAATAGCATTCAGAAAGGGAGAGATACTGGAAAATCAGCTGAAACAAGCTTTCTGTATTAGGTGCTGGGGCTCTGCCTCAGGGATCATTCAAGGAACACTGTCTTCTATCATCCGCTTTGAGTATAGAGTGGGACTAGAGAGACAAGACTAGGCATCCTTGAAGGATCACCTTGCTTGGATTCTCCCTGTAGGGGTCCCAAATCTTTCTGGGCATGAATATTTCCAAGTTTCCCTTCAGGCACTTTCACCTTCAATAGCTGGACGAAACTGGATGAATCTGACTTAATTTTTCCTGCATTTGATTCTCTTACGGTATTTTGGACTCTGACTCCCCTGATTCAAGTAATGTCTCCTCATCACTTGTAATTTTACGAATTAAAATGTTAAATCTATATATTTCCTCTATTACACAGTTTTGATTTTTTGAAGGCATTAGAGGGTAAATTTTATTAAAGCAAAAATCGCAAGTTCATCCAAAAGAAGATTGCACTATTCTATAATTCAGGGTTTGACCTTTTTTACTTTCTTCCCTTCTTACCATCTTTATGGCCTCTGGGTAGAGAGGTTCGATGAGAACTCCTCTACTAGTAGCCACGCTCTCCACCAGCTCGTTAAGCGCCGCACGTTTGATCTCCTTCCCTTTCAGGTCGGCCACACAGTCCAAGAAATCAAACAGCACGCAGCACTGCTGCAGCTTCTTACAGAACAGGTCATGTAGCTCTGCCACCGGGGCATCTGTAAGAATAATAGGTGGGAGGGAAGACAGAGAAATGTTAAAACCCAGGAAGGGTGATGGAAGTCGCCTAAATGACTTTCCAAAATGAGTTTTGTGTGTGCTTCACATAAACTGTTTGATAAAGTGAAAGAAAAAAGAGCTCTAGCTTTTACATTGTTCACGTTTCTTCTTCTCTCTTACGTAACGAGGGAAGAAGAGAAGAATATTACTGTACAAACACATTTGAATGTGCCCACACAGACAAGGGAGGACATTCATGCACAAACACACACGTTCCTCCAGATTTCTGTGCTGCTGCTGAGTCTTCACATCTGTTACAAATATTTAAGACACCTGGTTTGTTGCCCTGAACAAAGCTGCTGTCTGCCAGCACAATAAAACCCTCCAAAACCCTCAATTTCAAACAAATATTTACAAAAATATTGTTTATGCAGGAATTGCATATCACAGACACAATTTGAGTTGATTCAAGGAGCCTTGGAGTGTGAAAGTTAGCAGCTCGGCTTGTTGAGCATTACACAATATCAAACAACTAAACACAGATATAAAGAAAGAATTAAAGGATATAGCAACAACAAATAGGACTGACTTTCTGCTTTTCACCCGTATTGAATAATACAATTTGATAGCAAAGAAGATTGAAGTAATATCTAAATCAGAAGTACCTGCAAATATCCTGAAAAAAATTCTAAAATGTAGGGCCAGTTTGAAAAACCACTTCAAATTATTGGAAAGTTGGACAACAAAACAGAATGAAAGAAGGCGTATAATGAGTAAAAGTAAGCCCTTTTAGGGCAACACAGAGACAAACAACCATTCATGTACACACTCACACCTAAGGAGAGTTTAGAGAAGCCAATTAATCTAACAGTAATGTTTTTGGACTGTGGGAGAAAATCAGAGTACCTGGTGAGAACACATGGGTTCTGTTTAAACATGCAAACTGAATGCAGAAAGACCCAGTCCAGGAATCAAACCTGGAACCTTCTTGCTGCAAGGCAGCAGTGCTTCCCACTGCTCCACTCCAATAATAATAATAATAAAAAATAAAAATAAAAACGTATAAATTATGTGATGTGGATAGGAAATCAAAATCAACTTGTAATATTGATCAAAAAAACAAAAATATCAATCTTGATTTTCGGCAAATTGTAAAGTAATGGGCTCAGTGATACTTGTGTAGTGTTGATTTTTTTAGTTCCAATTCAATTCAATTCAGTTTATTTATATAGCGCCAAATTCACAACACATGTCATCTCAAGGCACTTTACAGTTCAACCAGATCATACAGTCAAATTGATACAAAGTTTTCTATCTAAAGAAAACCAGTTGATTGCATCGACTCATTGACTCAAATACAATCCCTCACACTAAGCATGCTTGTAGCGACAGTGGATAGGAAAAACTCCCTTTTAAAAGGAAGAAACCTCCAGCAGAACCAGGCTCAGTGTGAGCGGCCATCTGCCGAGGCCGACTGGGGTTCAAGGAGACAGAAGCAGAGATACAAAAAGCAGCTGTAAAAGGCGGCCCCCGTCCAGGAAACACACAGCCAGGCAGACGAGCTCCGAGCCAGCTCCCATGCCAGAGGACGAAGAGAGCACATCCACTCAGTCACTGTCAGAGAAAAAGGACCACACTGGTTCCATGGTTTAAGAGACACAATATGTTAGCAGATTAGTTAAATCTATTATGTAAGGCTGAATTAAAAACATATTAGTCACCTCAGCATTTGAATGAATGACGATCAAATACATCCTATACACCAAAAAGCAGGCTCACTACAGCCACTGAAAAGATGTGAGGATTAAAGTACAAAGAAAAAACTCTCAGGGAGCTGTTAAATGTTTTCACTCCATTTTGCACAGAGGCTTTTTTAATGTATAGATTATAGCAAAGTTAAATATTTTTACAAATAAAAATAAAGAAATATGTTTAAAATAACACAGACAACAAAGAATCCTCTTCTAATCTACAGTATAGAACTATGAAAAAAATACAGTTACACAAAAGTGTTCCACTGTAAAGATGGTGTAGTTTGTTTTTTTGCAACCTGAAGTGTGAAATAAACTTCAGTGGAGTTTGAAAACAAAATATGTGTATAGATTTATTATATCTGGTTGAACGATGTGTGTGCCCAGTTGATTTTTTTTTTTTTTTTTTGGGGGGGGGGGGGGTCGGAGGGTTATGGGGTGGGGGGGGGGCGTGGATATTTTATTGTAATCCAAAGGGGGCCCCAGAAGAAAATCTTTGGGAACCACTGCTATACACCATGTTACAGGAAATCCGAATCCTCCCTTTATTCAACTATAGGTTGGGGTGGACTTTAAATTTCCTTTATATATAAATATAATAGCCCAAATATATCAAATAAAATTCTTTCCTTATGGACTGTTCCATCAAAAACCAATTTGTTGTTAGAACCTCAGAAAATCTATAGCTTTTTTTTTTTTTTTGCCAACTTCCAGACAGCAGCTACGAAAATTTGACAAAGTCAAACTAATCAGATCTTATTATTAGTAGTCAAGCTTGGATCCGATTTAGCCTTGTGTATTAAAGTAAAGCAAGAGCAATACAATAAAACAATGCAATATGGAATGTTAGCTGCTTATGTTGGGCGTAGTATTTAACCTGCTTATGCAAGACGTATTGCAGTTATACTTTCGTTTACATTTGGGGCACACAAACAAAATATGAGTCTAAATAACAAGGAAAACTGCTATAATAACAGTTTGACACAGATATAAAATATTGAAGCTAAATATGGTAGATAATGAGGCAGCTGATACTTCGACAAAAAGTATGTAAAAGCCTTCTCAAGAGACAGAGAGTGGCTGCTCATCTAAGAAGCTTCAGCCTATAGAAGCTAATTAAACAGTGAAATATATCAAAGAAATTCATTTAGACAACAGATTAGGTCCTAAATAGATGATTTTCCTCGTTTGTCACCACTGTAGACTGTGCCAGTAGCAGTTTAGCCCAACTGTGCACTGCAGGAAGGGTGATCCATGGTTTATACCTGCATAGAGTAGCACAGTAGGACAAATTTAACCCTTCTTAACCCACAGGTGTACAGGGGGATGAAGCCTGGAGTCCCTCCACTCCTAGATCTCAATGATCTTTTCTGGGCACACCTAGACCATCTGTTCCCTTTGCTTTGGCGTCAAACAAGAAAAGACAAAAGCTGCCCTTTGGAGTTTATAAGTCTTCTATGAGAAAACCGTGGGTTACAGCCATGGGAATAAATGGTGGTTGGAAAAAGTATACAACCTTGTAAAGTAAAAATCTTTGTACTGCTTATCATTAGTTGATTTTACCTCTATAGAGGCAGTAAGTATGTAGTTTGTAGGTCTGAACTATACAGATCTAAAGGAAAACAATACCTCAATGACCTCAGAGAACAATTTGTTCATTCCATTTATCTGACTAACATTTAGGCTTTTTCCAGAAATTGTGAAGTTAATCACTCTACAAGGAGTAAAAGTTGTCCCAAGTAGAAAACCATTAAAGTGGTTAACGGCATGGTGGCGGAGTGGTGATGATACAGGCTTTTCAGGGATCACAGAGCGAAGGCAAATTTATGCAAACTAAATCGAACAAGAAGCACTTTGACAGAAAAATTAAGAGATAACTTATCAAGCAGTAAAAGCTAATTCCAAACTGGATTAATGCCAAATACAGACGCAAAAGTGCAACAAAATGGGTAAAAAAAAAAGAAAAAAATGAAGGTTTTCCAACAGCTTTGCAAACCTCAAAGTTCAATCTGTGTGAAATCCTCATAAGATTTCACACAGCAAAAATGTCCTTAAATCAAAGTAAACTGAAGCTATAATGTGAAGGAAAAAGAAAAATGGACTAAAATTAAGTTAATGAAAAATAAAGTAAAAATACGGTAAAGAAAAACACAAAGCAGTTAGGATGTTATTATGTGTCCCATGATTGTGTTGTACAGTGATTGACACACTTATTATCCTTTTACACTATGACTGCTGTTTCTTTGAGATTAAATTCAGTTAACAATGGGGAGTCGGATTTTAAGGTTTCTGGATGTGTCACACATGGTTTACATCATATCCAGCAAGCCTTGTTATCAACGTTTTGTTTTAGTTTATTTTTAAGTTTAGCTCATAAGATGTACTAAGCTGCTAATTTGTTTTTTATTGCAAACAGTTATATGTGACTGTATAAAAGCACAACAGATACATTTGCTCTGTTTCCAATGGTCTGGGAGGCAACAAAATCACAAAGTATATCTTGTTTCTCAGTTTGAATGCCTTCTGCTTCGATTTAGAGCTTTGCTTTTTGATGTTAATTCTCTACTTCTTTTATCTATTCTGTTTAAACATCCGTCTTCCTTCCTATTTTCTGCTGTCCCTTGGCAGACTGTGTGAAGGTGAAATCTAATCCGCTCTTAATAGAATGTAATTGTATAAAGATGTTCTATGCTGGGACTGGAAAGAAGAAAAGAGTCAAGTGAAAAGACGAAGGGAGGGAAAACTGTGAGCGGGTCTTGGGAATCGAGTGGAAGTGAGAGAAGATGAAGGGGATAAAGAGACTTGTAGGTCATGTGAGAACAAATGTGGAGAGAACGTAAAGGACAGGAGCATGACAGGGTGAGAAAAGTGTGAGAATATGATGCTTAAGGACAAAGTAGTAACACGTACTGATGGCCAGCATGAGATAATAAGGCAGCTTCCAGGCCTGCTTTAGCTGCTGACTGACCCTGACTGTTACTTAAACCCCTTTCTCCAGGTTTGACAATATTGACTTTAAGCAGCATAAATAAAAAAGCGTAATGTTTTTTTTGCTTTTTGTTTTTTAAAGCTTGATTTAGTTACTCCAATAACTGCAAAACTAGCAGTGGCTGTGAAGAACTGTCGGTTTTGGTCGATTTTAGCTCCCAATTTTGCCTGAAAGAGGAGCTCATTTCCCAAGAGTACCAGCATGGTGAAGACCTTAGCAGGGTAAAAACCTCCCAGTCGCCTGCACTTGGATTAAACTA